TATACGTGCATAAGAGTGTGGTCACATATATTAAGTGATAGACTTTTTAGGGTATCCTTATCACTTTCAGAAAATATAGCTATTGAAGATAATCAATCACTTCATAATGAGAATAAAACATGTTAGAACACTTAGAGACCACATGAATCCCATAAGAACAAGTGTATTATCATGCATAGTTTTTTCTCCTAATACATCTCATTTTAATTTTAAGCCATATATTTTTCAACTTTTATCTTTTTTTCATGACTTAGATTTAGAAAATCCACACTTGCATTTATGAGAATTCAAAGAGGTCTGCAACACGTATAATGACTCAAATTATAGCATGAACACCATCAAATTAGATCCTTTTCCTTTATTATTAAAAGATAAAAGCTAAAACATGGCTATAAAATTTTAGACCTAGATCCATTCGTTCTTGGGATGAAATGCAACAATAATTTTTAAAGAAGTTTTTTCCATCTCAGAGAACAAATTCTTTCAAAAGACAAATCATCACTTTCATTCAAAAACTAGGAGAAACATTTTACCAATATTGGGATAGTTATCAAGACTTGCTTAATACTTGTCCTTATCATGGTTTTGAAACATGAAAATTGGTTTTATATTTTTATGAAGGGTTAACACCTAAAGATAGGCAAATGGTTGAATTGATGTGCAATGGAACTTTTGAAGATAAAGACCCTAATAAAGCAATGGAGTACTTAGACTTGGTAGTTGAAACTACTTAAAATTAGGACACCGCATGTACTTATAAGGCATTGAGTAAAACTCAACCTCATACATCTAATGGAGGTATGTACAACCTTAGGGAAGATCATGACCTCCAAGCCAAGTTTGCATCTTTAGCTAGAAAAGTCGAGGCACTAGAATTGAAAAAGAGTGGTCAATTAAAATCTGTTGAAAACATTGTGTGTCAAATCTGTGAAACAAATGAACACTCAACCAACGATTGTCCAACCTTGCCTTCTTTTAAAGAATGTCTCCATGAACAAGCCCATGCTTTAAACAGTTTCCAAAGGGCCAACCACAACCCATACTCCCAAACATACAACCCTGGTTGGAGGAATCACCCAAATTTCAGTTGGAAGAGTGAGAACAACAATGCACAAACTTCACAACCACCGTTTCAAGCACACCATAATTTCCAAAATTCTCATGGATATGCACCTCCTTATGCTCCACCTCCTAGAAGAAATCTTGAGGAAACATTGCATGCATTCATTGAAAAGCAAGAGACAATCAATACTCAACTTGCTCAAAACATGACAGATTTTAAAGATACTCTTGCTAAATTAACATCTGCTCTCAGTTTCCAAGAGAAAGGTAAGTTTCCATCTCAAACACAACAAAATCCCAAAGGGCAATACAATGCAAATGCAAGTAGTTCCGGAAGCCAACACATGGATCAAGTCAAATCAGTCACTACTCTGCGCAGTGGTAAGGTTATTGAAAAACCCTCTCTTGAACCTTATGAGAAAGATGATGAATCAATCTCTGAGGGTTAGCTTGCTCAAAGTATAATAGATTTTAAAGATACTCTTGTAAAATTCACATCTGCTCTCAGTTTTCAAGAGAAAGGTAAGTTTCCATCTCAACCACAGTAAAATATTAAGGGGCAATACAATACAAATGCAAATAGTTCTGAAAGTCAACACATAGATCAAGTTAAATTAGTCATCACTCTTCGTAGTGGTAAGGTTATTCAAAAACTAATTCTTGAACCTTGTGAGAAAGATGATGAGTCAATCTCTAAGGGTAAGGAAGGGGTTGAATCTGAATATTGCAATG